GGTCGGACCTCAACCAGACGGGATGCCGCAGCAATGGCTGGTATCCAGGGGTTGTGACCCTGACCCTGAGCAGTCAGCCCAGACTCTTCCAACTAGACGCCCCTTTGGAACACCTGAACATTTCCCGAAACAAACAAGTCATTCGTACTTTTTTTTCGCACAAGAACGACGTTCTACGTGAAACATGGATTGCATGCTACGTATCATGGAACATTCATAAGAACAACACTGCGTTTACCTCTGCACAAGTCGTGAGTGCCCTGGCAAGGTGGTCCAAGCTTCTTGTTTACCACTGAAACTGCCTTCCCAAAACATCACGTCCAGAAACCGAGGGTGGTTCCGGCATGCAGCACAAGGGGGTTGTCCAGAATGGAACAGCCCAGTCTCCCAGCTGAATTGGTTTGCCCCTTGGGATTTCCAGGCAAGTGCCTAACAGGCGCCGCTCATTTATGTGTCAAACATGGGACTCTGGACTTCCCAAAAGGAGGTCTTTTTGGTTAAAAGGCAGCCCCGACTCGCGGCGCCGCGGCGCCTGAATGCCAATAACTGTACCACGCGCAGTTCTCATTGTTGTTGCACCTCGCTCGCACTCCCACGCGCATGCAGGTGCGCGCCCCCGCCAGTTGAGGGCCACCTCCCAAGTCCCAGCCCACGTCTCACTTTGTGCGTGGAGCCAAAGAAAGTAACCAAACTTTCGCCACGGTACCCAAAAAGTATGAAGTCTAGCACCTCTTGTGCGTTGTCCGTCCCAAGCGCCATTTTCGGCCTTTCAATTCGGAGAGGTTTGAGGTTTCCAAGGGCAGATGGTGTGAACCGGCAACAGATCTGGTATAAGGCTGGCGAGAACAACCTAGCTTCAATAACGGCAGTGGTGACTGTACGAATTTGCGTGGGGGTTCATGTCCCAACGCAGAATCCAGGCTTCCGTCGGGTAGCTTCCAACCACACGCTCCCCCTACTTTACAAGTAGCCGGGGCATGCTTGCCCAAGACGAACTGAAAGGACAACCACAACTGCGCCCATACGCCGGAGTCGTGATACTGGTCATAGTTCTCGCGCAGCTGCTCCGTTCTATGTCAACGTCTTCAAGGCAACACGCATACATTGGTAGATGGTGTCTGCAGCTGGAACACCCTCTCGAAGTGCCCATGCACGCGCTGCGTGCTTTTCCATGCCATATGCTTCCACATTGGCTGCCATGCACAGCGTCAGACCGCGATGTGCTTTCAACTGTGAGCTCAGAAAGCCAGACGTTACAAGGTAACCAACACTGGCTATTTCAAACCTAACTGGAACGTCCCTAGTAATCCGCTTTAGTGGGAACTGGGGGGGACCGGTTCCTGAGTGGTTGGATTTCCGCACTCAAATCTCCGGGGTTGCCGAGGGGGAGCGAAGGGACCGGTTCTTGAACCCAAGGAAGGATTGCCCTCCCAGTGTTAGCTGTTGTCTACATATGAAAACTCCTGTTTTTTCCATAGAAAAAGACACACGACCTCCTGTTTCCAACAATCGGATCGTCAGGTTTGAATGCAGATCAACTAGTTTGAGGGGCTGAAACCCAGATAAGAGTGTTTGAGGTGGCCATGTTTGAGGGATGAAGGGGATACCCCCACCAACCAGGTTTGACCTTGACGCTTCTAAAACCTTGGGGCCCGATGAGTCAGACAAGGTCTCCAGGAACCGCCATCCGTTTTCGCCTCGGAGCCTGGTGCCTCCTGGTTCTTAGCCTAGTAGAAAATGTGTCAAAAGCCAAAAGTGCCGGTTCACCAATTCGCCACCCGGTGGGTCAAACATAGGATAACCCCAATTTAGGAACCCTGGAAAATGGAAACATGGACAACGTGCGGTCCATATCCTGGTTGAATTTGACCCAAACCCATCCGGGTTTGGTCAGCTTTTAACTCGGAGCAATGGCAAGGGTTGGTTCCATATCTGACCGCTTGAAATTTCGGGGGAAGCCCTGAATTATCTCACTTTCGGACTGGATTGGCCAAGTCCAGACTTTCTTTTTGGCCACAATAGAATTCCCAAGCAGAAAGTTCAGACATTTTGCTAGTGAGAGAAAAACCAAACCCTGGATACACCCTGTTGTATCCTGCTTCACATGTAGTCTACCCTAAAATATGCTTTGAAACAAATGGAGACCATGATACCCTGAAAAAAAAGCAGCAACCCGAGCACGGTGAGAAAGAACCTCTTTGGAGAGACAAACCACCCTGCCCCCTACAACCCGCCTGCGCCTGCACACGGCGTGGCCTCAAACTTCGCGCGACTATCATCCCATCTGGGTAGTAGAACTTCTCAAACAAGCCATTGGGGGGTTTGGGGAGCAGCTCAAACGGGTTCAATAATACTACACATGCTTGGCCTTTACGGCTTTTTCGAACCAAACTTGTCTCGCCTGCTGAGTGAAAAAGCAATTCGGGCTCTGAGTTGGCCCAACCCCCAACCCTTAGACCCTTAGGTGCGAATATAGGGCGATGTTGTAGGCTTCAATCCGGATTTCGGGGGGGGTCGAAAGCCCCCAAAACTGTTGCGCCCGTTTCTCGGATTTTTCCAGGGCACGGGAAGAAAGGGAGAGCTGGCGAAGCGCTCAGACAAGGCCGATGTGCGCATCGCAGGCGAATCCAGCTCTGCAGGGGGGAAGCCAAGGGGCACGGGGTGCAACGCGCGAACTTCAACTTGCTGCAGCAGTACGTCCGCTGCCGAACAATCCTTACCTAGGTCCTCCAGTAGAGAGCTTAGAATACGGGTACCCACTTTTTTCGGTAGTCTATTTCAGTAGGGGAACCCTCCCCGACAAAGTTGGTGAGAAAGGGCACCTAGCTGGAACACCTAGTGCAAAAAGCACCTCGTCCGCTCCGCTGCGAGAGTATGGAGGATCACTCTATCAGCAGGTCTTGGCCGATCTGCGCCCGGCAGAAGCTGTTTTCGAGTTGTTGAACATAAGGAAGCTCAAAGCCTTCAGCAGGCACGCCTGCAGATTTGAGAAGGGGGTGCTTCCCAGAAAGTCTCAAGCACCAATCACTTCCCAGGAGTGGACTGGCCCAAAAAAGGCCACACTGTCTAAACATACAGGGATCCTTACATTATACACCTGAACATTGCAACTTGTAAATGGTGCTGTCCAACTTTCTTTTGGTACGGAAAAAGCCAGCCATGTTTCAACTGGTGGCAAAATTTGGCCATCTTTTAAGGAGCCCTGATACACCGCTAAATAACTAAACAGGTCTTCCCACAAAGTTTCCGAAGCCCAGGAACCTCGGGAAGTAAGCCAAAAACTTCGGTTTTTCCCGGCACCTAGCTGTCACCTGGTGCCGAAATGCCGAGCTGCGATGCCTTGGGCCGAGAAACACCTTCCCATTGATTCCATTCAATGCATTCACCCCGCACACCACTGACTAACAAAAAGCGGCATCGACGAGATCTGGTTCGAAAAAAAGCGCGCCAGTTTTGTAGCTGGTGTGTGTTGTTCCTTCTCTGCATCTTGTTTCGAATCCGCATCAACGAAATGGACTCTGATGTGAGAGATGACTCAAGTCAGAACCCTGCTTTGGTTCCAAAATGTCGCCCCCAAACCATTGACCTGCAAGACCCTGCCAGGTTGCAACTGGGAGTCCGCTGGCCGAAGCCAGCGACTGAGCTTCCCTTACTTGGAGTTCCGGTCTTCATGGGTCCCGGTTTTCTTCGGTTGATATCATTCAGGGGATTTGTGTTCAACCTATTCTGAGGTCTGTCTTTTTTGAGGGTACCCTCTTTGGTTGGTTGGTTTTCAGGGAAAAGCCAAAGTACAACAACCATACTATGATATTATGTTGTGTTAACATATTTTTCTTGTTCTTCTTCTTTCTTTCTTTTTTTTTTGGGGGGGGGGGTTCCCCTACAAAAGACAGACATATGTTGTTGTTGTTTTTTTGGGGGGGGGCCCTACATAAGACAAACACTTTTTTTTTTGGGGGGGTTCCCCTACAAAAGACAGACCCAAAAACGGTGAACTCATTTTGGAGTCTGGTTGGATGGGTTCCACACACACGACTTCGGGTGCCCGGCTGGCAGTAGCTCCTTCCCAAATGGGGTGTTCATCACAGAAGACGGTGCCTGGGACGAAGGGTGAAACAAAGGGGTCTGTTGTATTGGGGGTGGGGCGTGAAAAAGGTTTAAAGGTTGGACCCTTCAACATGTGCAACATAAGGGTCTGTAAACTAATAATAATAATAATAATAATAATAATAATAATAATAATAATAATAATAATAATAATAATAATAATAATAATAATACACATATTATAAATAATAATAATAATAATACTAATAATAATAACAATAATAATAATAATAATAAATAATAAATAATAATAACGAAAATTTCTAACAAATACTAATAATAATAACAATAATAATAATAATAATAAATAATAAATAATAAATAAATAAATAATAATAATAATAATAGTAATAAACAGGTCTACTCAATTCAGTCATGATCAGCTTAACATCCGTGGCGTTGTGGTTTGGCGGTGGGTCAAACATAGCTAGGTCCTCCAGATTTGAGAGGTTAGATTAAGTTGGTACCGTTTCTTTTTTCACTGGTCTATTTTAGTAGGGGAATCCTCCCCCCAAAAAATGGTAAAAACATAGCTAGGTCCTCCAGATTTGAGAGGTTAGATTAAGTTGGTACCGTTTCTTTTTTCACTGGTCTATTTTAGTAGGGGAATCCTCCCCCCAAAAAATGGTAAAAGGGCACTACTGGGGGACCTAGACAGGGTACCCCCAAAATGGGTTGGTCTGGATGGACGAAAACCTGCGGTCCAATTCCTAATTGGAGTTAGATTTTTGAACTGGTTGGATGGGAAAACATTCAACCTCCACCAAAAACCCAAGTCGGGTCACTGTAGGGAAATCAACCCATGCTTGAGGGGGAGGGGTTCATATGCGTGTGCCAACTTTTTAGGGTAACCCCCGTTTGGTTGGTTTTAAAGAGAAACCAAAAGGAACACCAAAATCCATTTTGGGAGTCCCAACAAAGACATACCCATTTGTCCCAAACCTTGGAACCCACTAGACAGAATGAATATGGCTGGTCAAGACGTACAAAATGTGTTTTTCCCTGGTGTCTTGGTTGCCCAGGGCTAAAAATTGTTGTCCCACTGGCGGCTTCATTTTGATGAGCCACATATCGCAGATTTGGGCTCCCGTTCTCGCGGCGCTTGCCAACGATTCCCAGGTTGGGCAACCCAACTTTTGCCGAATGCGAATCGAACAGAGCCTCAAAGAAGACCACAAAAGCGCCAAAGGAAAAAGGATTGGTGAGCTGACCTTTCTGAGAAATCGATGCCTTTTTTTTTCCGGAACTCATCTCAACCAGTGGAACCCATCTACTTCAACTAATAGGTGACCAAACAAAGGGGAAAGGATTGGTGCATAGTCAGCCTCCTTCCCACTGGTGCTGTAGAGCTGGGTGGTTTGCTGGTGAAACGGGGACCCCGTTTACAGTTAGTGGAGGCCTCTCCCGTCCGCATTTTGCCATCCGGTCATAGGGTCCCCCCCACACTTTTGGGCACATTCTGAATACGCCCACTAAAACAACCTATTTTCAACATTCAAATTCAATCACCCAACCAATCCAACTCCAAAAAACACATATTCACACACCCCTCTTCATTTCTTACCCCATCTCAACATCACCCTTACACTCATTCAATAACAACAATCATAACTACATACCACCTCAACAAATCCCACCAAAAAAATCCAAGCTACATACCAACATTGTTTCATTCCCAAGATCGCAACCCCAAGATCTCAATAATTTCTCCCTTGATCCAACTGAGACCCTTTCCCATTTCCAACAAATACGAACAGTCTAAAAAAGAACCCTATGTTCGCCCCGAAAAATGGTTAACCAATGGAAAAGGGAGAATTAAAACCGTTAACCCAAATCTTGAAAACAATCCCAGTAAAATATGGATGGCAAAATGCGGATCGGGAAAGGCCTAGGTAGGAAAGCACCCCCACGGCTTATATGGGAAAATTAAACTATAATTATAACATATAAACATTTATATGTTATAATTATATTATGATTACAATTTCAGTACAGGATAATAATTTAATTGACAAATCTTTCTTCTTTCATACATCATTTTAAAAATAATATTAACATCTCTCACTGTATTCTGAACATTAAACTTTTTACTTTCAATAAATAATTTGATATTTTCTTTAACATCTTCTCCTTTATCTTGACTATAACACAACAACCATAATATATCATCCATCATTTCATATTTTTTCTTACTAATTTTAAGAAACTGTTTAACATAATCATAAGGTGGTATTTTATTTACAGTTAGAAATATTAAAATATCATCTTCTACATTTCTATGTCGAATTCTTTTTATTCCCAACAGACATCTGATTAATTCTTGATAATATCTCCAATTTTACAAATTTTACATAAATCTTCTTCATCCATTGAATAATTAATAATATTATTCACTATTTCATTAGGTAAATTTAATTTATACAATTCCATATTTTCTTTTTTGAAGTGACAACAATCATAGCATTTTTTATTGATATAATTATTGATTTTATCATCGTTCATTTTCCTCTTATTTTATTAAGGTAATATTTCTTTAAATACATTTTCAGGGAAACTTTTAAATCAAGCGAATTATAATTACAACATATAAGATCTTACATGTTGTAAGTATAGCAAAACTATGGTATCAAAGGCTTTAATCTATGTATTTCCAGGGGTTGTATTCGTTTCTTCTGTTCCTTCCTTAACTCTTTTGTTGCTTTTACTTTGTCTCTGCATTCCTTACATGTTTTGTAAAATATCTCTTCCATTTTAATTCTATCATACATTTTGTGAAAATCCTTTCTTGGCTTTGCTTCGTCGCATTTACTGCAAGGATAAACCATTGTGCATCCTGTTTCTTCTTCATCATCTGTAGAACTCATAATATTAGTTATGCCAATATGTCTTTAAACGGATTTTCAGAGAAAAATGTTTTCAATCAAGAATAAACCCCTGTATCTTCATCATAGTCAATTTGATAAAATGTCATAGTGGAAGACTTCGGTTCTTTAATTTCTTTGTTATTAAGTTTGTTTAAATAAATATTTCTTTTATTTTTATATTCACCATTGGTTCGATCTACTTCCTTACTTTGATAACTGTTTGTTAAAGGTTTCTTCTTTTCCATTTCTTGCAAGATTTCTAAAATATTCTTATTCTGTTCTAAAACCTTGTTCAGTTTTTTAACCATCTTTTCTAATCCTTCATCCATGTAACTATATATATTATATTATAAAATAAAACTTTTAAAACTAAATGTTTAAATTATGTTAAATCTACTCTTTAAACACTAATTTTTCATCATTTGTTTAACAGTTTCCTGAGTTTCCTTATCCCCATTATCGGATGGCGATGCATGTCTTCCCCATTTGATAGCAATATTATGAACATCTGTTTCTAAGTTGATACTGTCTTTAGTTTTATCAATATTCATTTTTTTATCATTTTTACTAATTTTGAAAGTTGTGGGAAAACACGAACATTTACAATTTCCTTTCTTTTGAATTTCTAATTCATTTTTCATTTCTAATATTCTTTTACACATCGGACAAGCAAACTCAATAACTGATGTTTCTTTAACAACTTCTTCTTTGTCTTCATCAGTTGAAGAAACAACTGGTTCAGTCTTATTCTTTTTCTTTCTTCCCATTTATATTAATATTTACATTTTTATTTTTGATATATTGTATCACAAACTTAATTAATTCTAAAATAAAATAACATATTTTTTTACATCTATTATCAGTTATAACAACTTGTTCTATATTCTCTACTTCATCTATTATATTGATATAATCTGAATAGCTTCTATTCATATAAAATAATCAATATAAAATATTTTCTAAATAACTTTAATATTATTTTATTATGTCAGATGTTCCAATAATAAAGCCAATAAACATAACTGAATATGAATTCAAACAATCTAAATATGAGCACGTGCCAAAATTACCATTTAGAAGTATTATAGTTGCGAGTTCGACAGGTGGCAAAACAGTCTTGGTTCAGAACCTTATCTTAAATGTTTATAGAAATTCATTTGCAAGAATATTTATATTTTCCCCCAGCGTTCATAATGACCCAACCTTTACAGAAGTTAAAAAATATATCAGGGATGAATTGCACGTGGATGATGAAAAAGAACAAATTTATTTTGATAATTATAATCCAAGTGATTTAGAAAATGTAATTGAAAGACAGAAGAAAATAATTAATTATATGAAATCTAAAAAGATAAAGAAACTACATTCAATATTAATCGTTATAGACGATCATGCCGACGATCCTAAATTTGTTAGATATAGTAAATTATTACATGGATTATTTACAAGAGGTAGGCACGATGCAGTAAGCGTAATTTGTTCAACACAGAAATATAATGTGTTGGCGCCTATCATTCGTTTAAATGCCAGTTCATTATATATTTTTAGGTTGAAAAATGCCAGTGAATTAATGAGTTTTATTGAAGAAAATAGCGCCATTGTTGACAAACAGCAATTATTAGATATGTATCATCAAGCAGTGAATTTTGCTCCATATTCTTTTTTCTACGTGAATATGAATTCAAAAGACATTAACAAATGTTTCATATCAATTTTGAACAGGCATTTCAAATTACAAATGATGAATAAAGATATTCTAATTTAATATAATATAATAATATGCTAATGAAACTATGTAGATGTGGTGGATTTTATCGTAGAGGTAATTATAATTTTCATACTAATTCTTGGATACATAAACTTTATAAGTGTTAAAAAGACGACCAACAGACGAGGAATTATTAAGATTTCAAAATAATTTTGTTGATGAAGAAGATTTAATAGATGATATGTGTAGCAACGCCTCAACAAAATTACCCGAAAGTGAAATGACAGATTATGATAGTAATTAATAATATTAATGTATGTTAATATTATCAATTTAAATTAACGAAGCATTGCAAAATTGTAAAGCAGGAAGTTTATATATTAATTTGTCAGATTTTTCTTTTTCTAATTTCTCAATTC